CTGCCAGCAAGGGCTTTTGCCCTGCTCCACGCCCACAGCTGGGGCATGCCGGGGTGCACTCAACTGCTTGCACCCTCCTGCCTTCCCAGGCCCTGTCATGGTACACCCATATGCTCGGGTGGGAAGAAGCTGCTTCGCAGCAGCGGGGAGCTCACTTGGGCTGCAAGAAGTGCACAGTTGGGAAAGTGCAGGCTAGATGCATGCACCCACAGGGCTCGGAGGAGGACATGGTGTCTAGGGCTTCACTGCAAGAGATGACGAGTAGCTCGGAGTGATGACTAGCTTGCACGGCTTCCTGGGAGACGGTGTGGAAAGACAGCCGTGCTGTTAAATCGTGGACCCCACAACACATAGTGGGGCTGTTTGCAGGGGTGCCGCTGCAAACTGGCTCGAACCCTGTGCCTTGGCTCAGCTGAGGGCTTGGGGGAATGGGAGAAAATATTTTCTTGATGACATTTTTGCAAACCACCCCAGGCTCACCTCGGTCCTTCATCTTCCCGGAGAGCATGCGGAGGTCAGGGTGAGGCGGGAGTACGCCTGCGCTGCCCGCAGCTCCTGCCGCAGCCCCACCACGGGCTGTCCCTGTGAGCTGAGGTGCTGCCGCAGCCCTGCCCCAGCACGGGGGATGGCATGGGGATGGGGGTGCCAGCGTGGGGCCCCCGCACCGCTGCGGCTGTCACACCCACCTGCTCCCACATCAGTCACACAAACCGCTCCTTGCGCCAAGTACTGATCCAATTTGTGGCTGTTTCCATAACAACCTCCCAGCGCTTTCTGGTCCTTTCTGTCGCTACGCGGATGCTGAGCTTCGGCGTGTAAGGGATGCTCCGGCCTGGGCCAGAGCAGCTGTGCTGAGCTATCACCGAGTACCTCTGGCTCCCGAGTGCAAAGGGCTGTTTGCCTGCTGGAGGCCAGGGTACACTGAGCAAGTTTCCTCCATCCTGGGAGTGTTTTTTCCCCATCAGAGGCATATGGTGAGGTTTGGGCTGGGGGAAGAAGGAGCCCAAGGGCAATAGTCGATCCAGGCGTGCAGTGCTCCCGTGGAGGGAGTGCAGATGTGGTACTGTGCAGCTCAGTCTTGTGCAGATGTGGTACTGCCTGGGATGCTCAGTGCCAGGGATGGGGCCCCTGGAAATGCTGGCAGCAAAAGCCTCCCCCCCCGCCCTGTTTCTCCCACCAGAGACCCCATCACCCCCAGGCCTGCTCTTGCAGTGCCCCATGGCTCTCGCAGAGGCCTTCCCCCCAGGGTGCCACTCCAAGTGCTCACCCCACACCCTCCTGTCTCCCACTGCAGGGCTCAAGCTGCTCTTGGCGCTGCCATGCTCGCTGGCTCCTGCCTCCATCCATCCCCTGCTCAGCCTCCCACCCCACAGGGCCAGCCTCGAGTGCCCCATCCACCCCCAGCCCCAACACTCCCCCCGGGG